GTTTACGAAAGAAAACAGGATGTTCGAAAAGGATGGTACGAAATGTAGTTTACCCCTAGATGTTAAGTGCCATAGACGTTGTAATAACTTGCACCAGCACTTGATAGACGACGAACAAAATTTTTTTGTCGATCCATAAAACTAGGAGGGACTTCTGGAGTTTTAAATTCAAATACTTTAGTTAGTTCAAGTCCATTTTGAGCAAGTGGAGTTGATAAACGTCGTCGGTTCGATCGATTAACTGTTTGTGCAGTAATATTGATATGAAGAGAATTTACTGTACTAAGAATTGAGTCAAGTTGAAATTTAACATAATCGAATTCAAGATCATCATCAGGATTTATTTTTGAGATAAAAGCATCAAGTTCAGCAAGACGACTAAATTGATGCTCTCTGAATTCATTGAGTGAATCACGTAATTCGTTAGTTAGTTGATTGACTTCTGCTTGTTTCTCTTTTTCCATTTTATTAAGGATTTGTTCCATTCCTTTTGATGCAGTTGTATCGAAAGTTTGTCGCCATTTACGTACTTCATCAGAAGCTCGTTGTTCAACTGAATTGACTTCTAGTTGAGATAATCTTGAATGTAATTTGTTTATTTCATCTCGATATGATTGAAGAAGCTGTTTATGGTCCATATCTGTTACCTTGAATGTGACTGTTTTTTCGTAGCTAATGTACTATAAATGTATAACGATGAATGAATGTTAGAGATTTTTTGATACGCGGAAAGGAGAAATAAAAACTACGCAGTTTAATTACCTACCTGTAATGATATATGATAGAAAAAAATACGCAGTTACCTTAAATACAATAAGGTTATCTAGTGTATAGGAGGGATAAACGTGTCCAAATCAATGATATGATTGGAGAAAACTTTGAACAAGGTGATTGGAAACTATAGTTTCACTTCAGTAGTTTATAGGGTTAAACTTACGAAAATTTCTTTATAAATAAGGCTTCGAAAATTATAATTAATATTAAAACGATAAGCAATGTAATTCAATTTTTCTAAGAGATAAATAATTTGATTCTATCAAACAATGTGAATATAATATATATGGTAAGTTGTTCTTATGCCAACTCCGAAAGCCATCTATCATTCCAATATTTCATAAGTCAATAATAGACAAATTAAATCAAATATTGGATGAATTCCAATAAGATCTTTTCTGAAAAGGTTTTATTTAAGATATATTATGTTCCGAACAGTTTCTCCCTTAGCCAACTTTATTTTTCGTTCTAATACGTTATTATATCATTACCGAAATTTAGCTAATCTCACTTCTCCGAAATCAATCCAAGATACAAATCAATCATCATCAATAAAAGAAAATAATGAATGGCTTTGGGAATATTTACGACATCGTCAATCCTATCAATCATTGAATAATGAACAAAAACGTCAAGTAATTCTACTTGAGTAAGTTATCATTCTTTTATTTAAATATAAAAAAGTAAAATTATTATTCAATTTTAGAATTCAAACATTACGTGAAAGTGGTGAACGTGTACCTGATAATGTTCCAGAAGAATATTGGCCTGAATTAGTATCATCTCCGTTATTAAATAATCGTAAATCAATATACAATTATCTTTTTGTTCGTGAAGTATCTAAACGAAAACGATTAGCTGAAAAAGCTGCTGTTCAAGAGCGACGTATTAAAAATGCTGAACGTCATGTTGAATTAGCTGAAGCTGGTCTTCCACTATCAAATTATCCCGGTTATCATTCAATGTTTCGTCAAATAAGTGGTGGTCATACAGAACGTTATTTACGTGATAATAAATTAATAGTTCAAGCTCGTCTTAATGAACATGTTCTTGTTGATTGTGGTTATGAAGTTGACCATGCTCGATCTAAATATACATCAAAATTAGTTGATCAAATTGAATTTTTCTTTGCTAATATACATGCATATCATTCACCATCATTTGTAACACTATGTAATTTTGCTACTGATGGACAACTTCAACAAGAATTTTCTCGACGTCAAAGTCAAAAACGTAGTATAAATTGTTTTCAAACAACGGAAGCAAATTATTTAGATTTAGTTAATAAAGAAAATTTAATTTATTTATCACCACATAGTCCATATGAAATGTCAGAATATAATCATAATGCTGTATATATTATTGGTGCTATTATTGATACTGGTAAAATAAAATTAGTTCATTTTTTCGAAAGAAATTTTTCATTGATTTATCATAGGACTTGGTGGACGACCTATATCATTAGCAAAAGCGAAAAGAGATAATATAAAACATCAGAGATTACCATTAGAACGATATTTAAAGTATTATCAAAACAAAATATATAAAGACAAATATTTAGTTTTATTTTCTTTAGATTCGGTAGTAATGCTAATCGTTCATTATCATTAGATAAAATTTATAATATTTTAATGGCATTAAAACATGGACACTCATGGGCTGACGCATTTCAAGCTATTCCGTATGAATAAAAGATTTTATTTGAATCAATATTTGTGTTTTTCTTTGTTTTATAAAGAGATCGAAAAGTTGCTGAACGTTTTAAACAACCGCGATTGGGTAGAAATGAATCCGAACGTTGGGGAAAATGGGCAGGTATTCGAAAAGATTCAGTATAAGAAATGATTATTGTTTAATATATTTGTTTTTTGTTAACATTGTTTAATTAAAATAAGAAAATAATTGGATTATTTTCATACAAAAACTCATATATTGTTCTTGATTCTATAGATCTGTCATTGATCGAAATCTTTACAGAAAATAAAAACTATGCCAGATGTATATATATATATTTTTTCGGAAATGAATTTGGTTGTGAAAAAGAAATATAATAAAATCACTGTGCACAATAAAAAAACGAAGTGACAATTATTATTAGTATTTAGAAAATAAATTTAATTGAGTATTTTTTTTGTATCTATGTGTAGATAGTTGACTTATATCATTTGTTCGTGTTGATACATAATTAAAATTTCGTCGAATATATAATCTTGGATCATGTGCAGATTGTTCATTTAATATTCGTGTATAATCAAGAGCTTTTAAACGTAATTCATAAGCTTTATTTTCTCGATAGATTTGACCATTAAGATCAGATGATAATGAACGACCTACGGAATTACGTCCACTTTTTAAAGATGAGAAACTTGAATTATCATCATAACTTGAATGTAAACGTTCACAACGAAAATCTTGTTCATCGAAACCTGAATCTCGATCAAGTTTTGATATATCATTATGTTGATTTTTATCTAATAAATCTGTTGATTTTGATCGTTGTGTACCAGGTGATGGTTTTCGATATGATTTTATTGTTTTTTCTTCGATTTTTATAGCTTCAACAACATTTGGTAATGTATTTGAGCGTGAATATGTTGATATTGTTTGTGGTTTTTTAAAAGCCGATGCTTGTTTTTGTTTTTGAGCTAAATAAAGTGCTGTACAAATTCCACCTGATTTTATTTTTGGTAAAATTGGTTTTTTAATTGAATTTATTGAAGGTGGTGGTGGTGGTAATGGTGCTGATGATTTCTTTTTAATTTCTAAAACACCTTCAGAACTTTCTAAACTATCTTCATCCATATTTGTTATATCTTCATCATGACGATTAATTCGCATAACATCATCAATATCACTAATATCAAAATCATGTTCAGATTCACCAAAATTTGGTGTAATATAACCATCAATATTTTCAATAATTGATTCTGTAAATCCTGATTTGGAATTATTAATAATTGGTATTGGACTTTGTCGATTTTCTTTAAAATTATCAATGTTAAGTTTTGATTGAGATGGTTGTCGAAGAATGAAATCAGTTTTAGTATATTGAGTTGATTGACTTTCATTCGTAAATGTATCTGTTGTTTTAGTGTCTATAGAAGATGATGGTGTATAAGATGAATAATCTTGATCGGTACTCGGTGATGATTGTTTAGTAAACATAGGTGATGGAGCTGAATATCCACTACCACGAACACTTCTTACTTTTGGTGTAAAAGTAGTTGGTTGATTATAATGATGATGAGGACATGAATGTTGTTGATCAAGATGTTCTTCACTTTTATATGTTATTTGACCAATATGATGACGTCCATCAGGATCACGAGTAACAAGAAGTTGAGCATTAGTTAGATTTGTATCATAAATTGTAGGTTTCGATAATGGAAATTCTTCTGTTTTTATAGTTACTGATTTACCATAGGGAGTTACTTTTGGAAAACTAGATGATACAGTATTAGTTGGTATAGCTAGAATTGGGATATTTGTATGATGATCATTAAGTTCTAATCGACGATGACCTTTTCATAGAAACTAATATATTAAACAAATGTTAATATTTATACACTTACTTCCTGGACGTCGACATGGATCATGCTTGTTAAGATAATTCTCAAGAGTATCCCAACCACCACCAACACGAACCATAACATGATATCTAAGAATCTATATACAAAAAAAATCATTAATCAATGATCAGCTTAATTTGATATCATACTCGAATAAAAATAACTGTTCCACTTTCACCAATTCGATATTTTCCTTCGCCAAGACGTATAACAGGAAAACGTTGTGCACAACAACATGAATTTGTCATTTGTACTACCTAGAACAATTCGAAATTTATTGATATTCAATATTTGATTACACAATTTACTGTTTTATGTAATTGTGATGATGTCGTTGATGTTTCACTTCTATTTTCATTTTCTCCTAAAGTTCGACTAATTTGTGGAATTCGCTGTTCTTTGTTCGATGCAAGTGTTGTGGTTACATCACTATATGTTATACTATCATTACTTTCTCCACTACT